GGGCGCGATGCAGAAGCCACGCGCCGCACGCCCTGCCCGGAGCCCGGCGACCGGGCTGCTTCTTCTGGGTCGCGCTGCCTCAGCCCAACTCCTGGTTTCTGAATCCTGGAGCCCCAGTACGAGAGTTGCCGTTTCCAATCCCTTTCCGCTCCCTCTCGCCCCTCCAAATCTGGAAAGATTTCCGGCAGGCTCGTGATTACTGTCATAACCTTAATTTTCAAACCATGGACTTTGTCAGCCTCTCCTGTCACCTGTCCCCGCCCCTTAATGGTATTTGCTTCAGAGATATGGAGGTGTCTCTCGCGGGGCTGGGCTGGCTCTCAAGTCCCGGAAGCCTCTGTGAACTCTGGGCCGAAGAGCTTTTGAAATGTTTTTGTTGATTACTTGTATCCTAATCCTGTGTCTCAGGAGTTGTACTTTTAGGAGACTCAGGGGCTGGGCACAGGTGGTGCATGGATAAATTTTTAGGGAAAAGTATGTTGTACCCTCATGAGAGTGCAGTGCAGTGGTTAAGTTCAGGCCCTTCACAGCCGTGCTGTTCAGAAAAAAACATTTCCTTCTCACCCTAGATCCTCTTCTGTATTTGGAATTGACCAGATCTCAGGGGGGCTATACCCAGGGTACCCTCCCAGGGCCTTTCTCTCTGCGTTCTGGTTTTCATCAATTTCCCAGGAGACCCTGTTCCATCCCTGTAATGAAATTTCTTTGTGTTTTCAGAGGATTTAAATTGTCATTAGAATCCCTTAATTAATTCTACTGGGTCTGTTTAGAAGCAAGATGTAAATACGTTCTAGTGCTGTTCACAGTATTTTGTATTTGAGTTTCCATAATTTCTTTCTGTTAAAAGGCCTTTCTGGGCCTGAGATTTAGCTCAGTGGTTCTGCTGCCTGCCTTGCAAGCATAAGGTTCCGAGTTCCATCCCCAGTACCAAAAAACAAAAACAATAAAAGATGTTGCTAATCTGCATTTATTTATTTATTTATTTTTGTACCGGGGATCAAACTTGGGACCTTGTGCTTACGAGGCAGGCAGCAGTATCACTGATCTAAATCCCCAGCCCCTGTATCTTATTTTGTATACTTTGCATTTTAGTTGATTAAAAAAAATCATTATCACGGGCCACCTTGGAACATTTCCTTTTTATTGAGACAAGGTCTCTCTGTGTAGTTCAGGCTAGTCTTGAACTCACTATGTAGCCTAGGCTGGCTTTGAACTTGTGGTGGAGTCTTCTTCCTGCCTCACTGTCCCTTGATGCTGGGATTACAGGTGTGTGCCACCATGCCCGGTTGAATATTTACTTTTTTTTTTTTGGTACCAGGGATTGAACTTGGGACCTTGTGCTTTCCCGGCAGGCCCGGAACCACTGAGCTACATCCCCCAGTCCCCCTGAATGTTTACTTTTAAAATTTCATTTGTAGCAGTTGTCTTTCTGGCCCTATAATTTGTTTTCACTTGAACAATTGTGTTATTTTATTAAGATATGTTACAAATATCAAAATCATAACCTCTTTCCTTTTCTGCTTTTCTTTTTCTTTTGGTATTTTTAACTGCCAAATTGATGTTTAAATCTTCTCTGTTTATTGCACCTATCATTCAGTTTAAACTCCTATGCTTTTATCTTTATAATGCTTGGAGGTGACATATTACTTTAAATTGTTTCGAGTTGCTACACACTTTGGCACTGGTACAGGTAAGAAGAGGGCCAAGCAAGGGTCTTGGCATAGTGTTTTGAAATAGTGCTGAAGATGAATTTGGCCCTATATTATAAGATGTACAGATAGTCTGGCATGTTAGGAAACAGTGTAGTTTTAGATTTTAAATCAGATGTCAAGGTTGTTTATGAGTGAAGTTCTATGTTTTATTGTTGTTGTTGTTGTTGTTTTTGGTACTAGGGGTTGAACTCGGGACCTTTGAAGTTTTATGGTTTTATTTTTAGGGACATCTAATATCAGAGTGGAAGTGCTATGTTAAGTTCACAAGCAAGAATCATTTTCTTCAGTATCTTATGATCCAGGCTGTCATAACAGGCAGGAGTAAATATGACTCAGGTTGGAAGAAACCCTGCACAAAGAGCCAGACATGTCAACGGTGTGACACATAGGGAGCCCTTCCCTGGGAGGTGGCCAGGACTTTATCTTCACTGTGACAGTAGTTACCTCAATGAAGTGGAATCGTAAATCAAGATCCCAGATAATGAGAAAGTAGGAAGTGCCTTATGCTACTTGAAATAACTGACTTGAAGAACATGACATTTGAAAGTTCTGGTGAGTGCTCTTACCTGGCCTTACTAGGAGTTCTGGCACTAACTCTTTAATGGCATTAATTCTTGATAATGAGAAACTTTAATTCCAAACAAAAATTAATTATTGAATACCTGATAAATGATAGCTACTATCAGAAATACCCATGGGATAAAGAAATTATAAGATAATTATAAGATAACTTGCTTATAAGTTACATGAAGGGGATTAATGATATAAATATAGAATTTTAGTGCAGTACTTTGACAAAGACAAGTGTGTCTCTGATTTGTGTGCTTTGTCCACCAGTTAAGTTAGTGTCGCTCAGAAAATAAAGGTGACTTGTCAAACCTTGTCTCCAAAGACTTGGAATAAAATGGAGTCATTGACAACTCCAGAATTACCCATTGGAACTTGTCCTCTGGGGCATGTATCAGGACGTTAACCTTTTTGAGCATGAGCAGAAGATACTAAGTCAAGCAGCAGTATTCAGGCTTAGCTTTTCAAAGTGAAAATTTTGTTTCAGTCTTTATTCAGAACAAAAGGGGGAAGTTACTAAGGGTTAGGTTTAAAAAATGTAATTGTGCTATTATAAGTTATCTTGCATTTATGTAGTGACTTTGTCCTCTCCAGTGTAGGTATTAGAATTCATTTATTTATTTATTTAGGTACTGGGGATCAAACTCGGGATCTTGTGCTTGTGAGGCAGGCGGCGGTACCACTGAGCTGAATCCCTGGCCCATAGAGTTTAGCTCACCATGAATGACAGATATAAATGACCTAGAATTTTGCTCATCCTCTTTATTTTAGTGAAAACTAAAAATGTAAAGTTCTAAATTTGTCATTTTGGGAGATATAGACCTACATATTTAAGAAAAGAAAAGCTTCTTTTGCAGGAGAGTTGTTTCTGTTTTCAAATAGGCCATACATTAAGATCATTATTAATTTACACTTTTTCCTACATCCACTAAAAATATAATGGTGTATTCTAAGGTGTACATAATATTTTAAAATGAGAACTATGCATTCAGTTGTCCAGAATCCACCAGAATATACATAGACATTTGGCTTTGAAACATACAGTTGAGAGGAATAACATCTTGACTCCAAAAATAAAATAAGGTTTTATTCCTGGAAATATCCTTCCATTGAAACTGAAAAGTGTACTGGATGCAGGTTGACCTGATTCTTGCTTAAAACCAGGTCTTGACTAGAAGAACAGTGCGAGGGAGGAGGAAGGAGGAGAACTTCTGCTGCAGTATAAAGTCTGGTGTCTTACTTCCCATACAAAGGACTTCATAGTTGGAAAGGAAAAAGAAATTCTCCCTGTCCCCTTCCTGGGTTCTGATTCTTATGTATTTGGAAACTGTTCTGTTTTCTTGAAGGTTGATAATAATAGTTCCTTAACCAAGGAAAAGCCCAAGACTTTATTCTCCTCAGAGAGGTACAGTGTTGCTTTCCCTTCCCTACGGGTTTCCCTTCTTTGAAATGTGGTCGGAGGAGCTGTCCTTTCAGCACCGTAGCCCTCGAAGTCGTTTTAAACCTCTTGCATGTTAATAAATACTGAACACCTACTGTGTGCTGGCAGCTATCTTTAGGCCAGAGGAAAGCAGGGAGAATATAAGAAAAAAAAATACAACAATTAATTTCCTTCAGGAGAATTCAAAGACTTGGTTGAAGAAATAAGATAATAAATAGAAATTTGTTGAAGAGGCACAAAGCTTTTCATCAGTGTAAATGTTTGTAGGGAAGGAAAAAGAGAATGTTCCTTTCTTGCATGATGAAGACTCAATATAATGTATATTTTTAACCAAGAGGGTTTTAAATCTCTCTTTAATGTAGATTTACTTGGTATATTTTTCTCATTCATATAGATGACAGGCAAAAGTTAGTAATCAGGAGTCAGTTTTAAGACTCAGAAGCACTCAAGCTCTTTTAAGCAAGAATGGGACTTAGCAAAGGAAATTAGGAGTTCACAGAATTGTTGGAAGGGATGGGAGAAGAGGCTTCAGCTGGACCTATGGGAAGAACTCCCAGAGCATTGCAGGACTGCCCTATCAGGGGAGCTGCCACTTCTCTAATGCAAAAGGTTGAGAATCTGCACCTGTCATTGGAGATGCTGACTTTGGGAACACCATGCTGTACCTTCAGCTCAGAGACCAGGCAGCTGCTTGGCCATGTAACGTTTCACATCCATGGAGCTAGGGATGCTGCTGCAGACAGCCATGCTTGCCAGGAGAAGCAGCAAGAAGATGGTCCCTTTCTCATTTCTGCCTTACAGTTCTTGTCGATGCAGTTGGCAGAACTTAATTTGCACCTAGAACTCTAGCTTGAAGGGAACCTGGGCAAGGTACTTTCTAGTTCTCTGACCTCTAGTACTGAAAAGCATGGTAGGAGAATTTTGTGTTGGATGCTCCTAGTTTGCTACCATATCATTTATTCGGAAAGACTTCCAGACATAGCAGAAACTTTTCTCTCTTCTTTCCTCCCTTCTCTTCTCTCCTCCCCTTCACTCCTTCCTTTTCTTCTCCTCTCTCCTTCCCATCTCTCTCTCTCCCTTCCTCTCCTCCCCCTGCCCTTCTTCCTCTATTTCCTTCTCTCTCCCTTCCTCCCTTTCTTTCATCATGCTAGGGACTGAACCCTTGTACATGCTAAACATGCAGTCTACCACTGAGTGATAACCCCAGCCCCAAGATGATAGCCTTTTTAACAGTTGTATTGTTTGGGACTCTAAAAAGATGGACTCTACTTTTTGTATACCTAAAGATATTCCATCTAACTATTCCTAAGAGTTTCCTCTGTGTAGACATTGTAAAATACAAATGAATGCCAGCCCTGGGCAGGACAGAAGCACTATAGCTAAGCAAGAACAGATTTTTGAGTGAAGAGTGGGGGTGTTGGGGGCTAGCCAAGTAAGGAAGGGAACAGCCAGCAGTGGGCAGTTCTTCTCTTAGTCTTCCCAAAAGTTTAGAAATATATATTTGTTTTCTTAGTTTTTAAAAATAAAGTGTGATTTTGGGGTGGGGTACTAGGGATCGAACTCAGGACCTTGTGCTTGTAAGGCAGGGGGCAGAACCACTGAGCTAAATCCCTGGCTATGATTATTTTCTGTATTTGTTTCAGAAAGCCCAATTCACTTTTGTGTTCAGATATGAAATTTGTTTTATTTTTTGTTGAGGTGGTTTGTTTTGTTTAAGTGATTTGTTAGTCACTTACTAAATGTTTGACATGGTGAGTACAGTGGTGAAAAATGCAGAGACTGTCTCACAATCCAGCAGGACAACAGGCCTTGAGCAAGTAATTAAGTGATTATAACCTTTGTGAGTCTTGCAAAATGGAGATCACTATGAAGTATTCAGTTGAGGGGGGAACTTGACTTCATTTAATCCGGGTGTTAGGAGGAGTTCCTCTATGAAACTGACATTTAAAGTGTGACCTCAGGGCTGAATCTGAATCAGCTAGGTAAAGACAATAAAAGATAGGGAAGGGAACAGATTTCATGACAGAAACTTAAAAAGGCACTTTGCTCATTTAGCATTCAGTATCATGTATAACCCCATTTTTATAATCACTGGTAGCTCTATTTTCTATCCATGAAAGCCTTTCCAAACCTTTAAATCAAATACTTTAGATTCAAACTCTGGATTTGAGAAGAGTGAGGGGTTGGGGTCTTAGTGGGAGCATCAGGGACTGAACTGGGGCATTGCTGGAGTTGGATGTCTCCTGTGAGGTTCCTTCCCCATATATCTCAGTCAGCCAGTCCAGGCAAAAGCCAGCTCTGGGAGTCTCCCAGGTTGACTCAGCTCTCCCCACACTCCCTGTTGCTGAGGGTCAGCCTTCCTGGTCACTGGCACGTTGTCTTTCAGGTTATCTTCTGTGAGGCTACCGGAGTTGGTATACATTTTAAATCATAGGCCTAACGAAACTCCCGTCATGAAAGTGACCTTGTTGGTTGCACTCAACAAGGCCTGGGCCTGATCTCCCAGCCGGCATACGGTCCAGTCAAATGGGCTTCCCTGAATGTCTTCATGTATCGTGCACTCTCATGTCCTCTTCCCTGGCTGGATTTGCCCTCACTGGGATCTCAAGACTTCATTGCCTGATGAGATTGCCTTCCCCTCATTTTTTAGGGCTCTTTTTTTGCGGGGGGTACCGGGGATTGAACTCTGGTCCTTGTACTTGCGAGGCAGGCGCTGGAACCAGAGCCAAATCCCCGGCCCTAGGGCCCGTTTTAAATGTTGTCTTCCCTGAGAATCCTTTCCCTGGTCACACTCTCTGTCCCATCCTGCTGTGGGAGCTAGTGACTTTCCTTATCCTCTGGTCACACTTCTACAAAAGCTTTTTGCAAGCTGCCGAGTGGCTGTTGTTCACACTGGCACTGGACATGTGCATCTCACCACCAAATACATGAAGCTGAAGAAACCTCAAAAGAAAACCCCTTGAATGTTCCCTTTGTTGAAAATGGTTGGTCTTGAGACAGGGTTCTGGGTTTCTTTTTTTTGTTTTCTATTTTTGGTACCGGGGATCATACTCTGGACCGTGTACTTGTGAGGCAGGCGGTGGAACCTCTGAGCTAAATCCCCAGCCCCACCAACTGGGGTTTCTTTTATGAATATGTACTGAATAGCACTAAAGACAGTAGAAATGGAATAAAGTTAATGACAGTTACTCTCCATTTCATGTTTCCTTTATAATGGTAAAAGAAAAGCCCAGTGAACTGACACTTTGCTGTGTTTCCAATTCAGGTAAGTGAAAATGGTTCAGTGGTGTTTCCAGGAAGTTTTTGACTTGCTTCTTTTTTCTTGTTTCTCAGTGTTAGAGATTGATTTTGTGGAGCTGACCCTGGAAGAGATTATTGGCATTGGGGGCTTTGGGAAAGTATATCGTGCTTTCTGGATAGGTGATGAGGTTGCTGTGAAAGCAGCTCGCTATGACCCTGATGAAGACATCAGCCAGACCATAGAGAATGTTCGCCAAGAAGCCAAGCTCTTCGCTATGCTGAAGCACCCCAACATCATTGCCCTTAGAGGGGTATGTCTGAAGGAACCCAACCTCTGCTTGGTCATGGAGTTTGCCCGTGGAGGGCCTTTGAATAGAGTGTTATCTGGGAAAAGGATTCCCCTGGACATTCTGGTGAACTGGGCTGTTCAGATCGCCAGGGGGATGAACTACCTACATGATGAGGCCATCGTTCCCATCATCCACCGCGACCTGAAGTCCAGCAACAGTGAGTATGAAGACCTGGGCTGGGGGCTGAGAGCAGCTCCATGCACAGGCCACAGCGCCAGTAAGAGGGGCTTCCCAGGGGAGCATTGCTGGATGACGTTCCCTCCTTGAGTGGGAATGCAGGGGTGGGCTGAGCGCCAGAAAAAATTGGTTTAGAAGAAGAATGAGGCATCGGAGGGGTTTTAAGATAATTCTGAACTTATATGGTGGTGTATAATTCTAATATTCTGTCCAAAGATCTAGATTGATGTTTCCCACCAATGGGAAATGTGTATGTAACCACAGAAAGGCATTTTCCTTTTGTGGGGTAGCAGGTAAAGCAAACCTGTACCACCTGTGTAAATTTCTACCTGAACACCTCAACTGGTGGTACCCAGTGGAGTAGGGACCGTCAGAAGAGGAGCATAGTGTTTAAACGGAACCCGATGCAGGTGTCAATTTGGAGAGCATGACATGGCTTGGAAGTGTTCCAGATATCCTGGTAGCCCAGGGGTGGTATTAATTAATTGCCTAACTACCTGGTGTTTAATAGCAGGGAACTGAGAAGTAACTGTTTCTGTTAAACATCCTATAAACTGGACAGTAAAGCAAGTGTTTTATAATTAAATAGTGAGTTGGTAGAGACTTGAGTCTTTCACTTGGACTGAATCAGAGGCACTAGAGTATGCTTCATTTGTGAAATAAATGGCTTGTGCTCTCTCTTGCCTGGACCGACTGTAGTGAGGTTACAGTTGTTTAGAGGATGTGCTTAAGATCACACTGAACATCTTCTCCCAGAGAGGAGGGCATTTGAGTTGAAGGATTTTGGGGGTGGCATGGGCCCCAGGGACTTTACTCTCTCTGCATTTCTTAGCTTTAGCCCAGAAATCCTTCAGACCTTGTTTTGGTCCATGCTGTTCACATGTGGCTAATTTTCTGTGATGCTATTGTAAATCTTTACTTTTCATTTTGAAAAACATGCATTTTGAAATTATGTAAGTAGTATTTATTTTAGAAAACGGTGCACATAAACAAAAGAGAATTAATAGAAGTGTTTTCCTTTAGAAAACAGGATATATCCTAGGTATTTTAAAAAATATATATGTTTATATATAGAGAGAAATAGAGTTTCCAATTTGAAATAGCTTTTATATCTTCTACCTGGATGCTCTGCTCTCTTAATAATAGAAAACTTCCACCTTGCAAGAGTGTGGAACATTATGTATGTACTGTACATATGGCACATAAGAAGATTTAAGTTACGAAAAATAAAACCTGGTTTCTCTTATTTCCTATGCCATTATTTTATCTCTTTATCGTGATTATTCTTGTCCCTCATCCAAAATTCTGTCCTATGAATGTGTTAACTAAATTCACTTTTGGTGACTTCTTCAGAGTGCTTTCTACCTATGACTGTTTTGGATGGTGGGTGAGAAGCTTCAGGTACGTTGGTAGAAATGAAATTTTCTTTTGTTCTTTTAAACATCCTTATCATGCTGGGAGAACCAGGCAAAGTATTGTAATGTTACATGATTGAGCCCATTTAGAAAATCTAGCTGGGATAATAGAATTGCAAGTGTCTATTACTTCCTTGATGAAGTTTCAAATTTGAGTATAATTTCAAGCTAGGTGTATAACGTTTTACCTTTTTACAAATTCATCTTCGGGATTTAGGTTCTTGTAAAGAAAAAGCTCCCTTACCAGAGTTTTCTGTTGAAGAAGGTAGAGAAACTGAATGTCACTCTTTTTATCCAGGAGACAATACTCTGTCCAAAAGTGGGTTCTGGGGTTGCTTGGGTTTGCAGGAAGCCTATAGGTTCACTGTGTTGTGGCAGCAGTTTCTACATAGGGCAGTATTTTAAAGAACCTTTTCAAGATACGACCAGAAGATTGGCTGGTGGCACACATCTGTCATTCCAGAACTGTAAGAGGCTGAGGCAGGAGGACTGCAAATTCAAGTCCCACCTGGGCAATTTAGTGAGGTTCTGTCTCAAAATAAAAAATAGACAGGGCTCAGTGCAGAAAGGCTCTGGGCTCAATCCCCAGTACCACAAAAGAAATGAAAAGAAAAAAAAAAAGATGTGGTCAGAAATGTGCATGGTACATTGGACTGCGTGCTTGGTGCTAAGGTTGATTTGTCTATGAATCTTACACATAAGTTGGGGAAGCACCTGGATATTAGTCTGTGGGTGGATGTTTGCCTAGTATTGTGTGTGTCCAGCGTCAGCATTGTCGGTACAGTCATTCTTATTCCATTACAGTGTGTGCATGAATTGATTGTTTTTCACCTGTAGGGAGTAATAACTTTTATGTGTGTTTTAGTACTTGGGGACACTGTCCTTTTTTGTTTGTTTTTTGTTTTTTGGAGGGGTACCGGGGGTCGAACTCTGGCCCTTGCGCCTGGGAGGCAGGCAGCAGAACCACTGAGCCAAATCCCTGGCTTGTTAGGTTTTTTTTTGGTACTGGGGATTGAACTCGGGTCCTTGCGTTTGCAAGGCAGGCCACCAAACCGCTGAGCTAAATCCCCAGCCCTTGTTAGGTTTTTATTAGGAGCTCTAGAGAGTTGGATTTTGGTCACTGTCATGTTAGGGCAGAACACACACTGGAGACTATATGTCAGTTGACTTTGAACTAGTAGAGAAATGTGTGTATGTGTGTACATGGGCTCAGAAAGTAGCTGGTGATAAGCATCTAGCAGTCTTAGTAAAAGTGATTTATAAAAAAATTGTATTGTCCTGGTCAGCTACTTAAAATGTCAGCCGGTTGCTGTTTACTGACAGTGAAATATGTGTGGTGTATAGTACCCTTTGTTGGTATGTAATCACATTGTGTTTAGGTTTGACTATATCATCTAAGAAATGAAACAAAATAATAATGACTAAAATAAGGTATACATTTACTTACGTTTGGAAAGAAGTCTGGCAGCTTTTGGGGTAGCTCCACGGTGTGTTCCAGGGCCTCAGGGCTCTATTCTTTATTCCTTCATTTCATTGTGCACACAGCTTGCATTCTCCCCGTCACCTTTGGGTCTGAGATGGCTGTGGAGTACTGGTGATTTGACCCCAGTACAGTATAGCCTTGAGGGAGGAGGAAAAGCAGAAGCAAAGAAAAAGGTGTTTCTGATGACTGAGTCAACTCCCGTTAACTTCCGAGAGGTCCAGTACAACATACTTGCTTGCAGATGTTAAGCCAGAACATGGTCACATGGGCATGGCAGTCTGCCTCAGTGGAGACTTTGATGCTGGATGGTTGGAGCCCTGCTAATAACCAAGCTCAGTTAGCAAGGATGAACATGGCGGGTGGGGGAGGCAGCCAGCAGTCTTGCCATGGAATCTTAATGCTGGATGTACTGTGGGAAAACTGTTACCTTGGATATTTAGCATCATATTACCGAACAAGTGTAGCCAGGCCCTGGGACGCAGAGTTCAGACCCCTGGTTTAACTAACAGCTTGTATTACTTTACCACATTACCTCATTAATTTAAACACCACATATTAAAACTCCTCATAAAAAGCCACTGGCTATAAAAATGGATTTATGTCTCCTTGTTCTGTCAAAGTGGGGAAAACCAGTTACTGGATTGTTAGCAAAGGCATTGGTGAACAAGGTTGCTTGTTCTTTTTGGTATAAGCAGAGGGATTTCAGGATCCTGTATAGTAGGTAGCTTGGCATAAAGGCTTTTGGCAGAACAACAATTTAATAGTTCCATTCAGAGTTTTCTTATTTTACTCGTCTATATGAACACTTGCGCCTTCGCTGCTTCATCCACAGGCAGGAATATGCTGTCCCACACGTGCAGAGATGAATTGCTAGAGTGGAGTCCTGCAGCCACAGCTAGCAAATTCACAGCCAGCAAATTCACAGCCCTCCAAAACCCAGGCAGTAACAACCAGCCCAGATACACTCCAGGGTTAGAATGACAGGGCCCGTCCTTAGGTCAAGGGGAACGTTGAAGTGCTGTTGTCCTCACACTGCAGGAAAGCACATATTCAGCTGAACCCCAAGAGAGGGGCGCACAGCACAGATGAGCACAGATTTAGTGCTGGAGTTAGGGGTGGGGTGTTACATGGGCCGCAAGTTGCAAGAGCAGCAGTAAGTCCAGCAACTCAGTGGAAATGGATGGGCACATGAAGACTATGACTGGCGGTTCTCAAGACTGGAGCACAGGCAGTGCTGTGGTTGGACAGAGACGCATAGTGAGTCCAGCAGCAGCACAGTGCAGCTAAGGCACAGGTATCTTGGCAAAGGCATTGTGGCATCACCCTCATCTGGAAAAGGATGAGGAGTAGCCATGAAAGCAGTTTTTCCTATAGATAAGTAAAATAAGAAACCATAAAAAATTACCAGAGTGGATTTGGGTGACAGCTGCAGAAACCAGTTCCCCGTCTTTTTCAAGGGATAGATAAATGTCACACCTTTTCGCATCCCACATAAATGTATGCCCAAATGAGACACTTCTGACCATACTGCCCATAATTCCCCTCGTAGGGTTTCTTTGGGATTCTTGTATAAGTTCCTATTTATGGAGCTAGAAGATGACAGATGTGTTCTGAAGATTTTTCTGGGCAAAGTGTACAGGGGCTCAGAGAACTGGATTTATCTGTTGTTTGTAGGTGGCTATACCTAAGATTAGCTAGTCTCAGAGTGTTCAATTGATGAGAAACATTTTCTGTGAATATAGAAGTATGTTCTGCAAGCCTAAATAAATACATAAGTGAGTAAAGTTAAAAGAAGCAGAGAACCAGCCAGGTGACCTTGACTCCACAAGGCAATGCCAATGAGGCCGGAGGTCTGACTTGCAAGTCCTGTTTTGTCTCCCAGCACTTTAATATGGCCTGGGAACCTTGACCCCTTCCCTTACGCTCCACAGTACTGAGAATTGAACCCACGGGCTAAGCAGGCATTCCTGCATCCCAGCCCCATGGCTCTTTTATGTGGAGTCTGATTATATAGTGTTAGGAATATAACAGTAAGCAAAAGCAGACATAGGCATTGCCTTCAAAGAGCTTTCTGTGGGGTGA